TCTACAGAGGGACCAACTATGGAGTCAGATTTGGGTCAATATTCTAGCGCGTAAAACAAGCTACTCACAGCGGAAAATGTGCTTTTACACGCGCATAAAATGACCCTCGCGCGCAGATTAAACCCCCGCGAGCGGCTCTGCGCTCGCTCGCGAGAGAGACAGCCCTCTTGCTTGCTCGCGGGAGTGTCAGCCTCGCGGAGTCTGTCTACGCGCGCGTGAAAAGTTTCTGGCACTTTGGGGCGGAGCCACTGGACTTTGATTGACAGCTGCCAGGAAATCCGGGGTTGCCAGGTTTGATAAATGCCTGAACTACCAAGAGCTGAGCAGTGACGGCAGCAAAATATAGGTGCGTACAGCAGACAGTAGCTAGCAGTTTTCGACGGACACAGCCCACTGAAAAATATATTGTTTTATATCAAATTAATGTATATTACATTACATTACATTGCATTTAGCTGACGCTTGTATCCAAAGCGACTTACAATAAGTACATTCGACCAGGAAGACACAAACTTGAAGAAAACAGAATCATATATATATATATATATATATATTAGCTGTACACTTTACGAATATAATAGTTTTTTATGGACAACTTTACCATTCAATCTCGTCCAACTGATTTTGCTGCCGTCACTGCTCGGCTCTTGGCAGTTCAGGCATTTATCAAACCTGGCAACCCCGGGTTTCCTGCCAGCTGTCAATCAAAGTCCAGTGGCTCCGCCCCAAAGTGCCAGAAACTTTTCACGCGCGCTTAGACAGACTCCGCGAGGCTGACACTCCCGCGAGCAAGCAAGAGGGCTGTCTCTCTCGCGAGCGAGCGCAGAGCCGCTCGCGGGGGTTTAATCTGCGCGCGAGGGTCATTTTATGCGCGTGTAAAAGCACATTTTCCGCTCGTGAGTAGCTTGTTTTACGCGCGAGAATATTGACCCAAATCTGACTCCATACGCTGGTGCCACAGAGATTTCATAAAGTGAAGGAGGTTTTCCTTCTATAAAACAGCTGTGGGCAGCAGATACTGTGAGTCACGGACAGGAATCCCTCAATTTAAATAAAACGAGGCCACGCTTTAGTAACTCGTGCGCACGCTTTAGTAACTCGAGAAAGTAAAACGTGGCCACGTTTTATTTATTTTTCTCTCTATGAACCCTCCAGGGCTCCGTAAAAATGTAACAACAAAAAAATCTAAAAAATAATATTTAATGTTTTCAAATATTATTTTTTTGAATATCTTAGGCCCTGACGGCTCGCCACTGCTAGAATAGATTTATATTGTTCAATTTTCCAAACTCACATTGATTTCTCATACAGCATCTCTGTATAGTATGTGTATTCACTCATGTCCTAAATGGCGTGTTGGAGCTCCTGACCCCCCCTCCCTATGAGCCCACTGTGCTCTGATTGGTCAGCTCTCCCACTCTGTTCTGATGAGTCTACCACTATGGTCTACCACCGTTACAGCGGAACATCGATGATTATGTGTTGCAATGGCGTTAGCAACCAGAAAATGACACCAGTAATGACAAACAGATGAGAATGCTGCGTGGGATCTGGGTGCCATGTGGGACGGCGGGACGTTGCGAGGCTCGCTGCTGCGAGGAGCGGACAGTGTGAGCTGGGTTCATTTCCTGCTTGCTGCGTGGGATCTGCGAGACAGCGAGACATCGCGAATGGGCGCGGGAAGGGGGGGATGCTGAGGGGGCTGCAGCACCCCCATCTGGGGCAGTATAGACAGGTATTTTCTGTGTTAGAGTTTTACTCTCTACAGGGTGTACTTTGAGGGTTTGTGACTTTGCAGACCGTTTACATGCAGAAAAAGCTACATAACACATAAGGGGACAGGTAATAACAAGAAAAGCATGACATGGGACCTTTAATGAATTAAAGGAAGCATATGGCTGACCATACACATACTGTGGCTACTGTGTGGTTCCCCCAGTAACACACTTTTGATTTCAATTTATACAATTTAGTGTTTTTTTATCACTGTATGTTGTACACAAATCTAGTTACATAAAATTATTCAATGTTGTACTTTGGTTTTCTGAACGATTCATGCATAAAGAAATCAGGTTTTAAGAGATAATGTGAAGCCTACATTGTCCTCAGGGCACTTTATGAGCACACAACAGTTCCTTGTAGACATCTGACCATGTTTTGAACTCCTATTATTCCATAAAATGAAAGCACTCTTTTTTCGTGAAATAACCCCGAATGACCTTGACCTGCAAATTGTTTAAATAAATAAAATAAGGAACGAAGGAGTCATCCAAAATTAACTAATCAAAAATAATTATGATGCTGCATACAATTGCAAGCAGCTAATGTATGAGGTGGAGCTAAAAGAGGTTACTGATCAAAGTACTGTGCACATAGCCAGTAATAATCTCTCAATCTGCATGGTAAATAAATTGCAGTTGCCAAAATAATACTGATTATTGATGTCAAATAAAAAAAAGCTGTTATTAATTTGTAATCTGAATTTGTCGTAAAAACAAATCACTTACTGACTTGTTATTATTACTACGAACATTGTAGACTAAGGGCCAACAATTAAGAGGTGGTGGCCAAATACCAATGTGTTTAATGTATTCCTTTTATCTTTCTTGTTGAATAAAGAAATACAAATAACAGTATTGTTTAATTAAGGTGTAGTATTTATTCCATCAAATTTAAACTGTAAGTTGTTTGGCAAGTTAAATATACTTTCTTTCAGCACCAGGAACTGTCCATACTAAACAGCCCCATGGTGCAGAACAAGTCGCTGTATCTGATTTTATTTTTCAGAGTATTCTTCAGTGTAATTCTCTGTAGAATTTCCTTATAATAGAAACCGTACATTTCTGAAACATGACTTAAAGTTGAAGTAGCTGAAAAAGGGAGTGTCGGGGGTCTGGGGAACTCAAATCCCCTTAAATACAGCTACTGTATAAAGTAAATGAATATAAAGTAGTTCATGAGTGGGAGTTTTCAGCTGTCATGTCTTTTCATAATGTATGTACTGTATTTTAAATCCATCCTACATTCCCACTGCAGGTTTTGCACATATACTGTAACCAAAATAGCATAATTCAAAAGTGTAATCTCAGCAAACCAGACTACTTGCTCACTTTTTGTTGTGATAGCTGAAAAGAAAACAACACTTTGTAGCCTAATTCTGAATGGTTTCTCAAAAATGCAGCTGTCGTTAAGTATGGATACTCGTCAACGATGTATCCTTCCAAAATACTCCCTGATTGTTTCAGACATCAGACTAAATGAGGGAATACCTTTGTGTATGAAGCTGGTTTGTTAAACAATAGCAGCCTGGCAGACAGAGCACTGTGCAGTCACATAAGTGTGACTAACAACCTGGCTCAGACACAGGATTCCTTTCATTCTTTACCCACTTCTTCCCATCCTTCAGCCACTGCCTTTCCCTTGGATTTTGATTTTGGTTATGTCTCACCTTGTTAAAACAAAGCAGGCAGCACGATCAGCTGAGTGTGAGTAACTTGCGTATGATGCATGACTTCATTCCATCCAAATAATGAGTCAATTAGTGTGATTTATACATGTTTAGGGCTAGCTGCAATTAGTTCCCCTATCTCTTTTCCTGTATGACTAGAGTTACAGTATTTCCCCTTTCCTGTATCCTCCTTCTCTCCCTCCATCATCCTATCGCTAGTATTACACTCCTCTTTCTCATCTCTCCTGTCTGCCTCTTCATCATGATCCTTTCTTTTTTTATCATCTTCCTCTCCCCTCTTTTTCTCTGCCCCCTCCCCACCCTTCCCTCTTTCTCTCTGTCCTAGTTCTCAGGGTCTCATGGTGAAGCTTTGTCTAATTACCATGCTGGCGTTTAATTGGAACAGCATCCACAAACACACAGATTGACTGACTGAATGCCCCTTACGTGTACACACTGCACTGTGCATGCACACACACGCACACACAAGAATTAGCCATTTGGATACACATTACACACACACAGTACACACCCAGCAAGTTAACATGCTCCAGTTAAACAAATACACACAGCATACACCGGGGTCAGATGCGGTGGAGTGCGTCCAGGTTGTACTACAGCCACGGAGCCGATGCCCCGTCTGTAGAGCTAAGGCGAGTTGGCTACAGTCATAGATTGATTTTGGCTTAATATACCATGAGCTGCCTGTAGCTACTCCCACTGTAGAGCTATGTCATCCAACTACTGGCGACAGCAGATGCACACTGGAGACAAAAAGCTTGCCAGAAGACTAAATACTACACGTTTTGGAATATTTTTTAATTCTGGAAAACCAAACATAATTATCTTTCTTAATTCATGTTGTTTATTCTGATGTTAGTATTTGGTCAGCGTTCACTGCAGTAATTTCAGAATAGGAATAATGCACATCTATCTCAGTGTAAATATTCTGATCTATATTTGACATGTTAGCATTGGTGTGAATCCTCACATAGTGTACCACAAGAATCAAAAAAATCTTATTGAAATTAAACATGTGCCTAAGAAGAAACTAAACAATACTTATGTATTTTCATTCATACATTTCCATGTTACAGTACACAGAATGTCATTCTCCTGTAAAGTATTTCATATTTCATTGTTGAATATTGCATTGTTGAAGGAGCCCAGCATTTAAGATGTAGTGCTTACAACCACGCTGCAGCTGTTGTGCATATGACAATAAAGCCTTTGAATCTTAAGTCTCTTCAGCCATGTGCAAATTACCCAAATGAGAAAATCTGAGAAGCAAGAATCAGTCTTTGATTAAACATGCTGTAAGCCGAGTGACACTTGGTTATTGATTTGATTTAAGGGGTAATCGTCCACAAAGTTCGGTAGAGCTCCTGAAGGATATATTGACACCAAAACAGCAACACATATACATCTGATAAGATGTCTGTTGTTGTTGTTGATATGCTTGTGTTTTGTAGAGGTCAAGGGGTTATTTTTATATGCTATGTATGGTTTAACAAAAGGAGTAATTCTGTCTGTTTTCTTCTTTCTGTTTCAG